TAAAATTGAAATTCAATTTTATCTTATCTCACATCGAATGTCAATAGAAAATTAGAAGATTATCCCTCCTTTAAAAAGGAACATCATAATGGTAGAAATCACTGTTGGGCTTGTGTAATAAAAATAGATGGGCCTCAAGTTAGTTCAAAAGTTTTTTAAAGAACATTGATTTTTTTTCCTAATTTTTATTAATTTCGGATCAGATATCCAATAACATAGTAAATCGAATATAGATTTAATAATCAAATATCCGTTGTATTATCGAATCGGATATAGACAGATATGATCCACATTCGATCTATTTACAGCCCTAGCTTCAACCTAGAGAGATTCTAGTGTAGTGTGGGACGATTCCACATTTCTCTAGAAATTTACCAAAAGACCCTGGACATTGTTCTCCTGATCTATCATATCTGTCATATTATTCACTACTATAGTAAGATCTGACTTGTTTAATTCTTTTACTGAGTTGATTTTCAACATCAATCTTATAAGTCTTGAACTTGTCTGGTGATTGTGATTCCTTATGAATGAGATAAAGGTATATATAATGAGAAAAAATCGTCTATGAACATAATAAATAACTGTTGACTATTCTAAGAAGCTAAGTGAACTGACCTACATATATCCGTAAAAATTAGTTCTACAAATAAAGAACTAGCATTTACAATGTTTGAATTAAGAAAAAAATCAGAATATTATTTTCATTTGAACAAGAGTAAACAAATTTGTCCAATATAGAAATAAAAACAAAAAGACGGTACTCCAAATATATTTTTCATATTCAAATCTTAACTAATCTTTAATAATAACCTAAAAGTCCATATAGTCTCAACTTTAATTGATTTGGCATTGCCCCACATAGATGAATCTTTCAATATCAATTGACTTTTGGTTGTTCTGGAAACCTCGCATGGACACACTATGTGAATGGTGGCACCATAATGTATTTGCCAAATGTGTCTTGATATTGAAAATAAATTAACCTCAAAACAAACAAAAGTGAGAAGTGTATTTTTCTTTACACACCAAGCGTAGTATTTTGTACAATCTCTTTTTATGTGTTCCAAATTTTCACAAAAGTAATGGCTAGAATATTTATCATTTTCAAGCTTTTATTGTTTCTTTTGAGTTGAATCAGACGCAACTTCCTTATCCTTTAACTTGTCCTTAGAGATACTTGCCAAATGAGTACTTCCAGTTATCTCTTGTTTTAGATTTTCTTCTTCTTGCATACAATATGAAATGAGCTCATCAAAAGTCCACTTTCTCTTTTGACAGATTTAATTGACCTTAAATTAGCCTAATTATGCAAGAATTAAAATCAAAACTAAGTGCACGAGCAAGTCATCAGACAACTCAAACTTTAATGCCTTTAATTTTGAAGTAAGATGAGACATATCAATGACGTACTCCCTTATGTTTCCTTTCGCAAATCATTTTTTTATTTCTTTAAGAAATTCCTTGATAGTAGTTACTTATCGGACATAGTGCCACTAAATGTTGCTGGAATTCCATGATTTATGATCATAAGACTTGTATGGTTTGAATAATCCCACTTATTCGAGTCCTCTTTTTATTAGCGAAACTTTTATCTGTACGAGTAGTTGGTTGTTCAGTTCTTAATGCAATGTCTGGATCCATGCTGTGAAGAATGATACAAACATTCTCTTTCGAGCCCTTAAACTTTGGTTCAAGTACATGAACATATTGTAGAAGTAAATGGATTAATCGATTAGATAACTTAAACCTAAATAATATGTTCATATGAGAATCCGTATTGAACAATCAATAATTTCTAATAATTGCGAGCTCTGATAAGTGCATTTTTGTGCA